GCCATCGAGAACACCCGCAGCTCATGTTATGAGACCAGCTTGTACTACTCCACATGCCTCTCAGTGGAGGCAGCCTCTTAAGGCCTCTTACCTTCCAAGAGCCTGATTCTCACTCATGGCTGGCCTCTTCATGGCACTTAAAAGTAACACGGGTAAAAAAGGCTGATAATGGGTGTGAAATTCCAGCACAAGAGTAGATAATTACAAATATCAAGATAAACTAGGAATACTTTTTAGAAAACAGACTTTTTAAAGATAAGTCTAAATACTTTCAGGGGACCTCATAATGACTCGTTCATTACATTTGATCAAATCTTTACCTCCATTGGTGTCTGCTTGTGCACAATAGCTAATAAAAAATATCTGCTATTAAAAGCTATTAAAAAATATCTGCCATCTTACAGTTTCATCTGTTTCCATTTATTGTTAAATGTTTCTGCACATTAAAAAGATATTGACTGTGCAAATATAACAGAAATTTTTATTTAAGTTGTTAAAGGGAAAAAATGTTTTCCAACAACGAGAAAAAGACCACACTGTCATTGTCATGACTTAATATTATTAATTATTTCTAATACCGGTTAATGCCAAACCTGAGGAAGAACATCATGAAGCAGGTTAAATAATTCCCCCTAAAAATTAGAGCCACCTGTCTTTTTTTGTAACAAATGCAGAAATTTAATTTTTATAGGGGAAAAAAAGAAAAACATACATCTCATTACCTTAATAAATGTCTAGCTCTTCCTAAAAAGAACAGCCAGTTGTGATTCTTCACGAATATGTCGAAGCTTTCACACATCACTGCTGTCTTTCAGAAAGGAGCATAATTTGTATTTGCCTGGAAGCTCTTGAGAGATAAGTATTCCTTGAAAACGATTACTTTTTTGAACAGATTGACCAGTTTTGCATGATAAATCAAAGGATTTTCTAAAAGCAAAGATAAACAAACCCTTTTCTATTTTGTAAAACAGTGCTTAATGGTTCTTGATAAACAATGCAAGCAAAACGAAAAGCAGGTGCTATTTAAAAGCAAAAAAAAGGGTAGTAGAATTGGCTGACGGCAGCATTAAAGCATATAAAAGCTTCCAAGATTACAGTACAATCTCCCTCTAAAGCTCATCAGAAACATAAATACCAAAACCACTAAAACCAGTCTGAAATAAAATCAGAAATGTTCTAATTTTATCTTTAAAGATGTATTTAGACAACGTGTTTTGTAAAGTTCAGTAACAAAAACCTATATTAAATTTAATTCAAAAGTTTGAGAGATAGTAAGGTCACCCATTTTAATTGGAGTTAGCAAAACAATATTTAAATTAGCATCTGTTCAACTATACTCTTGCCTTTAAGAATCTAAAAACACATTTAGATATTAAAATTTTGTGAACTAAATGTCGATAATTAAAATTATACCCAAAGCTGTATGGTCAATAAAAAGGATGATATAAGCATACTTGACGATTTAATCATAGGAGAAACTCAAATTCTCTATTAATACAAACATAGTAAAGCAGTGATCTATTTCTTGATTACTGCAGCTTTCTGGAGGAAGGTGGTACAAAGTTCAACATTGCTACATTGAAACAACCTTTTGACATCTGAATATATTTAGTCTAGAAATAAAGCAAATAATGCCAGAACTTGGTAAATTCCTCCCTCACAACTTATACTTGATGAAAACGGACAAGCTGTAATGCTAGTGTGTACTTTTTGACCCACATGCAGAATCAAACAAAGCAATGAATTTTAACATTTTATTTCCAAAAAGCAAGAAGAATCTGGAAGCGGATAACTGCAGGATGTCAGTTAAACTTTATGGTTGATCTGAGGGGAGAAAGCAGACTGATCAGGAAGAAGTTGGAATACCATCAGAAGTAACATCTGATGAAGAGAGATGATCCTTTGCCTCCCTATATATAAGCTTGTCATCTTGATTGACACTGGGGCGATAGTGGCGTTGGATGTAGGAGTTTGCCCTGAAATCGAAGGGTTGACGGTTCAAGCCCCGACCCCAACTTTCAGTGTTGTTGTGTCCTTGGGTAAGACACTTCACCTGCATTGTTTACTGATGGTGGTCAGAGGGCCCGGTGGCGCCAGTGTACGGCAGCCCCGCTTCTGCCAGTGAGCCCCAGGGCAGCTGTGGCTACAATGTAGCTTGCCTTACAATGTAGCTTGTGTGTGTGTGAATGAATGTAGTGTAAAGCTCTTTGGTCAAGTCTCCTGACTTGTATAAAGGTGCTATATAAGTACATGCCATTTACCATTTGATTGAGAAATTTTCTCAGGTGTGCAGCAACACGGATTGGCCCAGCCACCTGCAAAGATCCTCTCTGTTACCAGGGAGCTCACTTTCACCAGGAAAACAGCAAAACCCCATATACCCTAACACAACCTCACCTAATTAGGTATTGTATAAGATTTCTATGAAAGCTGGTATAGTGTTAATCAAATCACAAAATACTTAAAAAAGAATGACTAGAATGTGGTTGATACTGAAATAGTCTGCTTTCAAACTTTCACATATGAAGACATAATTTAATTTGATATTTCATAGACATCTAAAATACAATACTACTGCAGGAGACAAGCTATTCACACATCTTTATCAGGGATTCCAGTCAATGTGACTGTTTTATAAGATATCTTACATCAAATACTGTACAGAAAGGCTATAGCTATGAGCAGAGGTGTCAAGTAATGAAGTACAAATACTTCGTTACTGTACTTAAGTACACTTTTTAGGTATCTATACTTTACTCCATTGCTTATTTTTCCTCCTACTTCTGACTTCTACTCATTACATTTTCAAACAAGTATCTGTACTTTCTATCGCTTACATTTTTAAAACAAATGTTACTCGTTACTCTTGGCTTTGGTTTTATGCAGAGGTCACGGATTAGCGAACCGCGGTCCGGTGTTATGTATGCCAAAAAGTGCTTGCCTGCCGAGATATGCATCCCCCGTCGCGGGAGCGCGTCTCGCTCTGTACAACTGCATATCAACGAGGAAAATGCATTAAAATATAGCCAATGGAGCTACTTGTTGTTATATTAATGAAATAAAAACATTTAGATATACCTCTCGTGGGAAACAAATTGTGGTTATTTGGCAGATTCATTTACAAAAGTATGGGTGTTATGAACAACATTAAATCCAAAGATTTTGTCCGAGGTACGGCTGATTTATTTGTTGTAGTCCTGTTATTCACACACAACAATAAACAGTGATAGCCGACGTGAGTTTTGAAACTGCAAAGCTTTGTCTAAAGCGGCACATCAAACACGCATCCACACAGCACAGGGTTCACAGACCAGCGTTATGTCAACAAGACCTCCCTCATTCTTGGCCCTATCTCAAAGAATTTTTCGAAATAGTTGAAAAATTAGCTTTCAATTCAAATAGTGGCATCTGGCTGTTTATTTAAAGGTTACTTTATACTTTTATACTTTAAGTATTATATAGTATAGTTTAAGTAGTTTTTCGAGCACATACTTTTTCACTTTTACTTGAGTAAAGAGGTCAAGTTGATACTTCAAGTTTTACCAGAGTGTTTTTAAACTGCAATATCTATACTTCTACTTAAGGAAGAAATGTGTGTACTTTTGACACCACTGGCTATGAGGCATAAATTGTTTTTGTTTCATGATGAGAATGACATTTAAGTATAAGCATCCTTCAAGTATAATGTGTTCCCCATGATTAGAAAATACTTTTTTTTTTAAATTAGCTTCTACTTGTATTCTCTGCATCTACTTGATTTTCTATAGGATCCACTGAATTCTACTCTCTAATAGATGAAGCACGCCATCTGTTCCTCTCTGCCACTCTCTATCTCCTACAGTATACGGCATGCCTGCCTCATCTGCTGTGGTTTGTCTTTCTGAAAATATTAATGCCATCTGCTGAAACTACCATAGCAGAGTGATGCATGGTACCGCAGCAAATGGGTGGACCCTGCTGGGGCCAAAGACTCTGATCCCGACATTGTTTTCTCCTTTTGTTTCTCTGGTCATTACTATCACAGATACCACATGAGACATAATTCATTCCAAATTTTAATGGGCTCATGAGAGTATTGGTCTTTTATGTGAACAATTCCGGTTTTGTGCTTCTTCTTTCATAACTGAACTTCCTTTATATCTTGAAGTAGAAAGATATTTTCTAAGTTTTTTTTTATACATATGTTTGTCAAAAGGGGTTGTGAGTGTATCAAAACTGTTGAAAAACATGTTCAAATCTCTTACCAATCCTTCTGCAGTTGCTGTTAATCTTTGAGCATTTTAGATCAATTATAACTACATCAATTTTAGCTATGAAGCTATTTATCTTTTCCCTCTATGTTTGTTAAACAATAATTATTCTATAGTTATTTTACATTAGGTTCAATAACTTAAAGAGTCATGATCTTAGCACTTATGACTGGCTTAACTACTCATTCCATTCACCAGTCTAACTCTACCCGGTTTCTAATCACAGCTCATGTGATCCACCTGCTCCTGCCTCTATTTAAGGAGCTTGCATCCAGTTATCAGGGCCAGATTATTTTGTTCTCTGGTACCAGCGGTGAGAGTGTTTTTAATTAAATTCAATTCAGTTTATTTATATAGTGCCAATTCAAACCATACGTCATTTTAAGGCACTTTACAGTTCACCAGATCATACAGTACAGTCAAATTGATTCAAAGTTTTCCATCTAAGGAAAACCAGTTGATTGCATCAACTCATTGACTCGAATGCAATCCCTCACACTAAGCATGCCTGTAGCGACAGTGGACAAACTCCCTTTTAACAGTAAGCAACCTCCAGCAGAACCAGGCTCAGTGTGAGCGGCCATTTTAGCATAACTGAGTGTTTCTGAGTACCTGTTCCTGACCTGTTCTGCCTCTCAACCTCTGAGCCTGTCTGTTCCCGTCTGAACATATCAGATGCTCAGAACATAGGACCCAGAATTCAAGCAGATGGAAAATGCTAATGAGCATGTGAGTCACTAACCTGGTAAAGTTCAGTCTGAGCCCAGAAAACAGAATGCAGTCAAGAGGGAGTGTTTCTCCGTAGCTTGCGGCGGAAGCCGATTCCAGAGGTCCAGGAGAGAAACAGAGCACTGATGAGCAGAAGCCAGAGCAGGCAGAGGAGCAGAAGAATCTGGAGGGATAATCCAAAGGCAGAGTCAAAGCAGGAACAGGTTTCCAAGCCAGAAGATAAGAAGTCCAAAGAGGTGCTGAAGGGATATCCAAGCCAGGGTCAGAAGACAGGTCCAAGGATGTTAGCAGGCAGAATCCACGTAACAGTCCGAAAACAGATCAGACTAGACAGCAGAACAGAGGCAACACAATCTCAAAAATGCAGGGATGGAAACTATTCAGGATAAGGTTATCAGAAATTACAGATAGCTAGAAAACTCTCACACCCGCCCCAAATAATCTAACACCTGATGGATGGAAACAGGCAGCTTAAATAGAAAGCAGGAACAGGTGAATCTGTTGAATGACAAAGAGCACTGGGCGGAGCTAAGCAGATAGGAGAAAAGACCCAAATCTAACCATCATAGCCAAGATCAAGACAGTGCGCTTTGCCTGAACTGTCTTCGGTCTATTGGACCTATGAGCCTTCCTGTTTTGATCTTTTTGCCCGACCTGGCTTCTGACTGCTGGACATCTGAGCCTTCCTATTCTGATCTGTTTGCCTGACCTGACTTTGGATTCCTGCTTATTCTCCGTCCTCCGGGGCTGCAGCACCTGTGACACTCTGGGCGGCACCCGCCTCATCTTGTTAGCAGCCCACCAGCTGTAAACCAGGTTAATGACTCATGTTCATTATCTTCCTCCATTAGATTTAAGTGGTCACTAACCTGTGTTTCCTCTCTCGGAAGTTTGCTGCCTAATATGCCCTAGTCGCCACTATAGCAGCCCGTCAGTTTTATAATAAATGCTTTTTGAGTTACGCCACTGTCTGTCATGCCTGAATACTGGGTCCTCTATTCTAAATCTTGACAAAAAAGTAATTTCTTGCTCAGGTTTTTCGGTTGAGACAGAACTTGAAGCTGCACTGATGTAAGACAAGATTGATAAACATTTCCCTATGAAATTCAGGAACTGATAATATTCAATTAGCAATCAATTTAGTAGTCATACATGCATGCATGCTCTTACCATTCTTAATATTTGATGAATCAATAAATGAAAAGTATGTTTTTTTCTTATCTAGTTATGGAAGGACACATTACTGCTGTAAGAAGCGGATGGTGAAAATGTGCTGAATTGCAGATCAGATATGTCAGGCTTATTGAAGTAACTGCAGAGAAACCTGGAAGTTTTAATGAATTAACTTCTTTTTTTAAAGCGGGCTGCATTTTGTCAGGCTCCCTTTTTTATCCAAGCTTTTCTGCTGTTATCCTTGCTTGTACTGTAGCTCTGACACATCCACGGGCTTGACGCAATTCATAAAAGTGTCTTTATCAGCCATCTCAATTAAATTTAGTTTTTAACAAATTGTTTTAATTAGTTCCATTCTCTTTTTCTTTTTTTCTTTTTTTTTTTTTCTTTTTACCACCGAGTCTTCTGACAAAGTTATCACATAGATTGGGATAGATAAGTTAGCTGATGATTTTCTCCTGCCCTTCACTTCCTCTTTCTTCTTGTCTCCGAGTGTTTTGTTGAGTCATCATCATGTGACCGTGCCAGATTCTCATCAGCTCTCTGCACCTGCTCCTGGTTTCTCTTGGATTCTGACAAACACTAAATGTAATCAATGTTGAAAGGTAGACTATGCCTTGTACCATTCAGTGTACACTCCTATGGGTCTTCTGTGTTGACAAGATGCAGGCTCAGTTAATTATCACTTCATTTAGATGAACATTAACAAGTCCCCAGCTCCTGTCAGATGCCCTACCATTTCTCAAACCTTTCTAACTATTTACAACGATAAACACAATGTTTATTTAACATTCTTTAAAGACTGGTGGCCTGGTCAGGTGTTACCTGCTTCTAACCTGATGACTGCTAGAGTTCATGGCAGCAGCTGTATACTCATTTATCAATATGTCAACATCGTCATAGTTTTTACAATTAATTTGATTATCTAAAAATACTCATAATGTATTTCAATCTGAAAAACTCACACAGAGAGAAAAGATAATTAGAAGAATTTATTGATAAGAAAGTATAGTCTTTGGCGCTCAGACCTCGGCAGGAACATTCATGCTGAATTATGCTTTAACATGCATGAGTAGATGAATGTGAATAGGGATGTTCCCCCCGGCCTGAAACTGGTGGTGGTTTAATCCGAGCTGGTTGACAAGGTGATCTGCTGTGCAGAATTGTGGGACTAGAAGACTGAGGGAGCTGACGCCGGGGCTTCACTCAGACTCGGGATATAGAGGTCCTGCTTGGTGATGCAGGTACCGTGAACTGTTCATGATGAGCAAGCATGAAGCGACAGTGGAGAGGAAAAACTCCCCTTTGGGAAGAAACCTCTGGCAGAACCGGGCTCAACACGGTGGTCTTCTGCCGGACCAATGCGATGAGACGAGGGACGGTGACAACTGGGATTAATACTCTCTGATGAGGTTGAGGTGAAGTCGTGTCATGGAGGACGATTCAGCTGCGATGGCGGAGAAGGGGATGGAGGTGGGTGAATGTCGTCTGAATCAAAATCCGACATGGCGATTGCAGGATAGCGGGCTGGGATGAGGATTTGAAAGAGTTTATAAAGTGGAAGCAGGACGCTGATTGTGCTTCGTGGTGGAGTAGTTCAAAGCTGATTGGCTCGCTTCGGAGACGGATCAGCTTCTGATGATGTGAGGTAAGTCAGAGTTTCTTCAATTGAACTTCCGCTAGAGCTTCATTACAATCTGAAAAACTCACACAGAGAGAAAAGATAATTAGAAGAATTTATTGATAAGAAAGTATAGTCTTTGGCGCTCAGACCTCGGCAGGAACATTCATGCTGAATTATGCTTTAACATGCATGAGTAGATGAATGTGAATAGGGATGTTCCCCCAAAAAGCCGAGGTCGAGGCCGGAGAGTCCGTATGCTTGTAGGGCATACACTAGGGACAGAATAAAGAATGCGTAATGAAATGCTGAGAAGGTTTGCAAACAACTTACCGAGCCAGGTTGTTGATGATGATGACCTCCCCATGACGATGATGATGACTTACCGATGACGATGATGATGACTTACCGATGACGATGATGATGACGATGATGATGATGACGATGATGATGAACCCATGATGATGATGATGAACCCATGATGATGATGATGAACCCATGATGATGATGATTTACCCATGATGATGATGAAGATGACGATGATGATGATTTACCCATGATGATGATGATTTACCTGTGATGATGATGATGATGATGATGATGATGATGATGATGATGATGATGATGATGATGAACCCATGATGATGATGAACCCATGATGATGATGAACCGATGATGATGATGATGAACCCATGATGATGATGATGAACCCATGATGATGATGATGAACCCATGAAGATGATGATGAACCCATGATGATGAGCCCATGATGATGATGATGATGATGATTTACCCTGTGATGATGATGATGATGAACCCATGATGATGATGAACCCATGATGATGATGAACCCATGATGATGATGATGAACCCATGATGACGATGATGAACCCATGATGATGATGATGAGCCCATGATGATGAGCCCATGATAATGATGATGATGATGATGATGAACCCTTGATGATGATGATGATGATGATGAACCCGTGATGACGATGATGATGATGATGAACCCGTGATGATGATGATGATGATGATGATGATGAACCCGTGATGATGATGATGAACCCATGATGATGATGATGAACCCATGATGATGATGATGACTTACCCATGATGATGGTGATGACTTACCCATGATGATGATGATGATGATGATGATGATGAAGGCGACTTACCCGTGATGATGATGATGCTTACCCAAGATGATGATGATGATTACCCAAGATGATGATGATGATGATGATGATGATGATGACGACTTACCCATGATGATGGTGATGACTTACCCATGATGATGATGATGACTTACCCATGATGATGATGATGACTTACCCATGATGATGATGATGACTTACCCATGATGATGATGATGACTTACCCATGATGATGATGACTTACCCATGATGATGATGATGACTTACCCATGATGATGATGACTTACCCATGATGATGATCTTGCGGATGAGTTTGATAATGATCTTGCGTATGATTCTTGCGGATGATGACATATATGAACAAAAGACATGACGAAATACAGACGCATGACGAGACGCAGACATGGTGCATATTGGTGCATTAGGAAATGCATCAAAATGGCGTAAAGAGCATGACGAGACGCAGACCAGACACGACGAGACACACAAGGAAGGCATGCTGCCCGACATAAATGAGATGCTCGTATAAGAGTCAGAATAAAGACAGCATGAGTATAGCAAGGAGACAGCATGAGGCTGCAGAAAGCAAAAATAATGTAGATAACTGATGAGTAGGAGGAGGAGAAGACGAGCTAGAGGATGGACATGGTTAGGTCAGTAATGATGAGAAGTGTTCGAACCACCACCAGTATTTGTGTTAGAGTTACCTAGAGGCAGAGAGAGTGCTGCGCTGCGAGAATTGATGAGAGTCTGGGCGGAAGATAAGGTATAGGCCGATGACCATTGGCCCAGTACTGAGGGAAGCCTCAGAAACCCCGTGAATAGCTGACTACGTAGCTGCTCCAATCGGACGGATGCCCAGGATACCCCCTGGGGGGAAGCCGCATGATTCTTAAGTATCCTGAGGTGATGAGAACCATCGAGTGACATGGGGGAACCCTCGGGTGTAATGAAATGCTTAGAATGCCTGAACATGATGCGCTAGATGATGAAATGTTAGTGACTGCTGCTGGGTGATGCTCTGTGAGGGGCATGAGAAACGGGAGAAGCGACCTAATAATGCTGCTACTACTGCAATATATCGTGGTGGGCGGATATGCGTTTCTTCCCAAACGGCCCCTCGACGGCAGGCTATGGAACGGGGTAGCCTCCACGGCAGATGATTGGGTGTAGAATAACGGCCGTGGACCACGAACACCTGACCTGAAGACCCCCCAAAACCTAAGGATGGACCAGCATCCGTAAATTGGAGCATGAAGAGATTGATAATATCGTCATGAAAGTTTTTTTTTTTTTTTTTTTTTTTTTTTTTTATAATTATATTATAATTATTATTATCATATATTATCATTATTATTATTAATATTATTATTATTATTATGAAACGACAGATGATGAGGAGACAAGACGATAATCAGAAAAATAATAAGGGGTGGTAAGATGACGGGCTGCTAAGACTGAGGTACGATTTATGTGAAGCGTGCACGGCGGGGATAGACTGATATTGAATGGGCCTCCTGCGGAAGCTGGGTCATACGATAGATGCTGAATGCGGCAGAAAATTGCCAATAGAGGATCTCTGAATAGATGGAGATCGGATGATTAGAGAAAACTGTAAGTCACCTGCTGATGCGAACTGCTGATCGACTTCAGGGGAGGGAGAAATAAGATAGACTAAATTAACATGTTTCCCTTGAATAATTTAGAACTAGGCTAGTGAAATATAGCATGCATGGGAATATAAGGTATGCCTGAATAGGGCAGACAAGGCATGAAGAGCGAATTCTAATGATAGAAGATATGAATAAAAACATGGTTGAATACATCTTACCTAGGGCTGGCCCAGCGGGTGTTCCTTAATATGAATGAGGGGAGGGAAGGGGAGGGGGAGGTCCGTCTCAGCAGACAGTGGCAGGGATGACGTGGCAGTGCGGGGATTTCCAAGTTCGGAGCGTGCGGACAGCGTCGAAACGGATTGAGTGAGAGAGTCCAGAGGAGCGGAGGGAGGCCGAGAGCTGCCAGACGGTTGAAGGACCAGACGGGGGAGCCGCCGCGAATCGGGAAGCTGAAGGAGGTCCAAAGCCCGCATCGATACGATGAGAGGAGCGGGCGCAGCGGAGACCGTTGCTGGGACAGATCTGGGAGCCCTCTGCGCTATCGGGGGGAGCGGAGGACTTGCATGTCTTTGCGGCCAGGGATCGGAGCAGATTGAAGAGCGGAGGGCGAGGGAGATGGAGATGAACCACGAGGAGGCAGAGGGAGGCCAGCCGAGACAGCCGAGCAGAGTCCAGGCCGGAGCCCGGCAACACGCCCTCGGAGCGCAACGCGGAAGGAGATGCGAGAGCAGCCAAACGGGAGCCTCTGTGAGCAGGGAGAATTGAATGTCGTCTGAATCAAAATCCGACATGGCGATTGCAGGATAGCGGGCTGGGATGAGGATTTGAAAGAGTTTATAAAGTGGAAGCAGGACGCTGATTGGGCTTCGTGGTGGAGTAGTTCGAAGCTGATTGGCTCGCTTCGGAGACGGATCAGCTTCTGATTGATGGAGGTAAGTCAGAGTTTCTTCAATTGAACTTCCGCTAGAGCTTCATATTAAAGAAAAGTGTATTTTCAAATTGAAAAAGCAAGTGTTGAAAACCAATGCACAGAAAAATAATTTCTGGAGTTCTATATAGAATATTTATGGAAAATAAGGTTTCAGAAATTAAATGCAAAATGTAGGTTTTTGTCATTCAGTTTTGGCATGTTTCTACTCTAATTGGGTTATTTTTTCAGTAAATACATATTTATATATTTAATTTGATGATTATTCTAAATCAATTGACACTTAAAATAAAATTAATCACAATCTGTAATGATACAGACTGCAGATCATAAAATTAGTGGGTCTGTAGGCTACATAACGAATTGTATTCTGAATTATAGCCAGATATTAATTATTGCACTATTCTAAGACCTGTTTGTTGTAAGCTGTTTGTGATATTTATACTGTAAAAAGGTAGTTTCGCCTTTTGTTCAGAGTTATGTAATTTATTAGAAGAGACAGAGGAACAAAGGAACTTAAAGCCCAGCTTTATTTAGAGACTTAGATTTAGACAGATTTTATTTTGTCATTTTATACACACAAGTGTATACAAAAAAAATTTTGTTCATTACAGCTCTCTACCCTTTTTAATATTTTAAAGTGCAGCCTTGATAAAGGTAAGCAGCAGTGATAAAAACACTGTGATTAAAAAAAACAAAAAACACTGGTGAAAAAAAGTGATGGAGGCATACGACTGTATAGTTACAGTTCCAACATTCAGGTTTCTTTTTTTTTATTTTTTTTATTTACAGAAATAATGTAAGATTTTCACAGAGTGTGTATCTCTTCCTCTGGTTTTTACTGCTACGAAAAAGTCATTTGTTAAAAAATGTGTTAAATTTACTATTTATTTATTCCCGGTAGCAGAATTAATATGAACAGAAGTAACTCATGTTGACCTTCAACATGAGTTTGAGGCACACAGAGTACTGCTTCATTAAGGGGTAACTTATAGGTCTTTTAGATCTAGGTCTTTTGTATAAGTAACTCTACATTCAATCTTTCCATATCAATAATCAATGTATTTTTGATTAACTTTATTTTAAGTTAATCTTAGGGATTTTTTTTGTAATCTCTTTGCCTGCTTTTTTTTTGGAAGAAAATCACATGTAATTGCAGAGCACAATTTGTGGGAGCAAATTATTGGCAAAAACTAATTTCAGGGCATATTGGTAGATGATTTTAGGGCTTTCAATGCATCAGGTTCAGCAGAAGACATTACCTACTTGTCTTGCTAAAAAAAAAGTTATTTTTCTCTGAGCACTTAGAGCAAGTAGTAGCATTATCCCAAATCAAAGTTTTTTCTTCAAATTGAAGACAGTATAAATGCTGGTTTAAAAAAAAAATGTGTGTGAACAAACAGCCGCAAACTATCTTTAAATGCAACAAGAATCACAGTATGATACATATAATGATGCATTACATTGTCCCTCAAATTAGAAAGCAGTGTTGTTTCAAAGATATACCATTGTTTTATCACACAATGGAAGGCATTTTCCTGGTGGGACAAGTTCAAAAGGGCTGTGATAGTTTAATTTCTAAAGTTTTATATGTTCAAAAATGACTTTCTTCTTTATTTTTGACTCCATGATCTCTGCTTTATTTTACAGAACAAAAGTGACGTATTGAAGAAAGATTAATAAAAGAACAAACAGTTAAGTTCAATTTTTTGGGGGGGTCTGCAAGGGTCAAGAATTGAATCAAGCTCCATTGAGGGCTTATAACTTATGACCTATACATTGTATATGATTAGAAACTCAGAACTTAGGACCCAGAATTTGAGGCGAGACAGACAGTCGGAAGATTCAAAGTGTTTATGAAAATCAGAATAGAATGCAGAGCTGTGGATCTGCAGCGGCTGCGAGGGGAAGCGGGACACTGCCTATCACTGACAATTCCAGGGATTAAAAGAAAAAATTTTTGAGCCTGAACATTTTCGACACAGGCATTTTGTATCCAGTTTTTACTGCTCAGCATTCCTGGAGCACATATAAACGGCACAAGGTTACTCTGTAGAACTTCAGCACTGTTCCACAATCTATCTGGTGAATTGAGCAAAACGAGATGAGAGGAGAAAGTACATGCTTTCCTTTCCCTTATTCTTTTCATTGGCTAATACTGTGAGTTTCACAGCGCTCCTTTGCTACGATTGGCTGAAAAGCGCAAGAGGGATTTCGGTTGTCTTTTTAAAATTTATTTACTGTCAATTTATTTCTGAGTGTTTTTTTTTCTACCATCGGCCAATCGCTACAAGCTGGAAACACGGCCTGGGGCCAGAATACTTGAATCCCTGCAATTCTGGTTTGAGAGAAAAACCCATGTAAGTGAACATGATAATCTGACGGAAGATGATTATCCATGTGAGTCACTTACCTGGTTTAACAGTGCAGTCCAACTCCTTGGAGTGATGCAGGATCCAGCCGGAGGGCTGCCAATGAGATGCGGCGGATGACGCCCAACCACAGCAGCCCCAGTAAACAGGCAGGAGTCCAAGCCAGGTCAGGGAAACAGTTCAGAACAGGACAGTTCTGAGATCCAGGAGTCTGTAGCCTGGTCAGGGGTTCAGAACAGGAACATGCAGATCCAGGGTTCCAGGAATCCAAAAAGAGTTCAGGCAGGTTCAGGGTTCTAAGAGTCCAACAGAGAGTTCAGGTATTACATTCAAATGGCAACAGGCAAACTCAGTAGTAGAGAGGCAGAACAGAACATGATATCAGGAAAACTACGGTACTTTAAAACTCGCTACCTCCATTGAGCTAGAAACAGGTGGACACTCAGTGGATAAGAGACCGGACATGATCAGGAACACTATGGCAAGACTAAAAACTAGTCATGGTATGAGATGGGCCAAGGCTTTGAGGCATGTGTCGAGTAATAGAGGGGGCATTTCCCCAAAAATTGATGATAGGGGCCAAAATTAATGATGTCTGAAGCCTTCAGGAAGTAGTTCAGAATGCACGAGAACTGGAAGTCATATAAACAGCCTCACTACTCAGTCAAGATGTGGGAGTTTGTAGGAGAATTGGTGTCCGTTGGATGGAGTTTAGATATATTCTAAGAATAGATTGTTTGAAAAACAACCAATCTAGTTGGTTAAAACTAGTTTGGTTAGATTAAACAATGAAATGTAATGATCAAAATCTAAGCAAACCACTAGTTACAGTTGTAACATTAATGTTAACTAGTTTTGCTTTCTTTTGAAAGTTGCAAAAATACTTAATTATTTTGGCTAATGTGACTAATTTGGTATTGGTTTGCCCTTTTATAAACACATAACTTCGAACCCAATTTAAACCAAAAGCTGTGGAAAAACAGTTTGAATAACGTTTAAAAAAATATGACTAACACCTGTCATTTTGCTTATTATTGCCCAATTTGGACAAGCACTTTCACTGTCTGCTTGAACTTATTTCACTAAAATGAAAAAAAAAACAGTGTACTTTAAATGGTTGTTCTCTTCTAAGACATTTTGCATACAAAAAAAAAACTTACAAAAGATTTTATTATATTCACCAATTTTAATTTCCAAGGAACTTAAATTGGAAATTAAAAAGAAGAAAAAAAACAATTGCAAAAAGTGAGATTACTAACTGTAGTTATGAACTTCGCCAGTAGGTGGTGAGATGTTGACATGGGGCGTGTATGAAGTCACCCGTGCGTGCCTGCTACCGTTCATTCCTCTTGTCTGCTGAACTGCTGCTAGTTTTACTCACATGCCTGGAAGATGTCTAGTGCTGCTACCACAGATGATCTCGATCTCGAAATGGAATTGAACGATTCAGATTAGCTAGTTGAATGAATATAAGGGGTAGAGCGTAGCCGCCTGTGGCCCAGGCTGCATGTCACAACTCCAGTCCAGCGCGCGGATGACGTCATACACGCGCCGCTTTGTTTAAAAAATATATAAATATAAAAAATATAACCGTGGATGTCTGGGGGGTAGTATTTCGCCTACATGTTATGAATGCTGGTGTACCATAACGAATAAATTACGAACAGTTTAGTTTGTGCCTTAAACTCGTTCGCCCATAGGAAGACATTATTTGGATATAACCTAACCGAATATCTTCAGAACGGCTCCAAATGACACAAAACTCATATGGGTGAGTAGAACATAATGTAGTAACATAAAATCAAGGATCCAATACAAAAAGAAAATCGACGTTCCCCTTTAAGAACTGTAGGAATCATTGACGCAATTTGGCCAAAACGGTTCGATGCCTCATGAGGCTTCCTCTCACCATCACTACTGAAAACCCTCTCTCACCACTGGCCTTCGAGAATGGGAACATGAACAAAAAACAAGAGCAATGAACTCAAAGTCAAACTCAAAACAATGATTGGTCTAGTCAGCAGCACAGAGTCAAAACTCAATAATCAGGCCCTGATCGCTGGGACTGAGCAGTATATCATGTTCTGATCATGACAGTATATGTATTTTACAATATGCCTTTTTTTTTATTTAACAGTTAATTTTATCAAGCTCTTTACAGATTTCATATTCTTATTTTGCAACCAAAGCATGTTTTTTTTGGCTGAAGCATCAGGAGCTAAAACAGGAGGCAGACACATTCAAAAACACAATTTCACATTTTTTTCTAATGATGAGCAGGCCTTATCATACCAAGCTGCGAGTCTGTTTTAATTTAACATCCTACACAAAGAGAAACCTCTCTCAAACGGGTACCAGCTCTAATTCGGACCAAGAGCGGAGATGTAATTGGAAGGCTTAATTGGGAAGATGGCATCTTGTTAATAGAATTAGCAAGCAGGAGAAAAAAGGAAACCGCAAAGTTGAGACAATGACACAGAGACATTCATAGACGGAGTGGAAACAGGAACTATGAGGAGAAAGAAGCTGAGATAAACAGAAAAGAAAAGCAGCGAGCGAAACACGAGTGTAGAGCCTATATAAAGAGAGGGGAGAAGAGATGGACAAGAAATCACATCATTGGAAAATGACTTTTCTATGGGTAGAGGTACAGTATGAAAGTACAGGACATAGAGAGAAAAAGGAGGAAGGATACTTAAAGGAGAGGCATCAGCTGGTGTGAAATGTGTTAAAACTGAATTAGTTTTTTACAGAAACGTACCTGGATACTGTATGGATCCTGTGTACTGTATACAACCTAAGTAGAGGCCCTGCACAGCTTAATATTTAAACATGTAAACATACATATATATGAATTTATATGTGCTCTTATCTACATTTTATTGAAAACTAAATTGCTCAATAAAACAAAATTCTTTATTGAAATTGCATTAGTGTTACTGTAATGTCAGTGAAGACTATAGTATAAGAAACATATCAGTAAAATTAATTGAAACCTAAAACTGACAGTCACATTTATTTTTGGATTTTTTTCTATCTATGTGTCATTCTGTCCTTCTGTATTTTTTTGAAACACATGCAAACCCTTTATTTTACTCAAAATTATTCTGGTGGACAATGCAAAAGCTTCAGAAGATTTACAAAAAAAAATAAATGAAAAATAAGGAAATAAAAACAAAAACATAATTACAAACAAATGTCTGGTATTTGTCAGCCTGAATAACTTTTAGTCATTGTTGTGCATTTTTATAATTTAAAGAATGGAAACCATTTAGACAACTTAACTGAGGTAAGGTAATACATACTGTAAAAAGAGTTTCTGGGAATAAAAAAAGTAGAAAATGTGTCCAACAGTGTTTGTAGATAAGAGGAAAAATAACATTAAATCTAATAATAATTTTAAAAATCCTTCATTGTAAACGTTATTTCCTCCCTTCTTATATATTTTTAAATTATTTTAACCTGCTACCACTTTACTGAACATAGGATACCTTAAATCCTTACTGTATATAACTCACCTTCTTATTTTTTCCCATCCAATGTATGTATATCTGGATGCGCTGTATATACTTCATGCACATTTTTCTCCTTTGTGCACGTCCTGTTTGTTCATAAGAGCTGATGTCACAAATTAATTTCTCCATTGTGATTTCAATAAAGTTCTAAAGTATTTTTTTCTACCATTTGATTCATTTTTTTTATTTCTTTATTTTCCATCTTTTATTTTTCCTTTTAACCTTTGCAATCCTCATTCCTTTTCTTCTCCTTTGAAATCTCTCTTCATTCGTTTTCAACTTAGGGTTTGAGGGGTTTTGTGTTTTGTATGCCTGTAAGTGTGCATTCAGATGGTAAGTGTGACAGCTAGATGGATTAGTCTGTATTTAGAGAAGCAGAATATCAATAAACAGAGAAGGAAACTGTGCTCATGCTCTTTCTTTCACACTCGTAGACTAGCAAGAACAGTTGCTGCTTTCCTGAGGCATTGGCAGCTGGTGGAAGGGTCATTCAGTAACATGTTGCGTACTGCCACAGCTTGCCAAACAAGCAATAGAAAAATCAGTTTCTCCTGTGAGCAGGCTAGGATTGATCAGCCAAAATCTTCTTTTATCTTGTTCACCCCTTTAGGTCTTTGAAACTGTCTTGGGATTCCATCCTAACCCTTTATCTTGCCTGGCAGAGGTTTGGTAATAAAGTATGGAGAAACAGGCAACCTTGACTTTGGCATTTAATGAACAAAATAAGCTTTACCGCATAAATGAAAAGCGCTGATAAATCAAGACAAACAAAAGCGGTGCAGGGAAGGACACTGAGGAACATTAATTTAAAATTCATACTGACTGAAACATTTCACTTTTTGTCACCTAACAAACAAATAATTTAGGTGATTTCTATTACATTTGGTGTGATATAACAACAAAGAAGCAAATGAGTGGAAGAAAAACAACATTTTAATTTTCGTCCACAAATAAAAATCTGTCATTTGTATTCATCTCCTTTAGTTCTGATATTTTTTAATATAATCAGAGGTAGATAGTAACTAGTTACATTTAAACAATTACATAATTAATTAAAGAGACATTGAGGGTTTTCTAATGATACTGCCACCTGCAGCCAAAACACAGAACGGCAGCACTCTTTTGCTCGTCCTCGTAGCTCGTGCTTATACTTCACAAGGTTTTTGTTTTATTTTACCTTTTCACCATTTCTGGAGTACTTCTGAGTATCCACAAAATCCATCTTGAGCATAACGCTTTGATTGTTTGCTAGGTTTGACCAATTCAAAATGGACGTGCTTGACTTCACATCCATAAAAACTGGGCAGGAACTTATGATCCAAATTAAATTCAGGAAAAATAAGCTCCAGCTGCTAAGCTGTCAGTCTGCTAATTAAACCATGTTTTAGTGGTAAAGGGTCAAATAAAAAATCTATTTTAAAGATATTTTTAAAAGCTTATATAAGCCTCTTTCCCACGGAAATTAGTGGGTTAACGAGTGTTTTTCAAACGCAGATCGACTGGTTAACAATTGGCATTTTAATCCTGAAAAACACTCTGAAGTGACACACAGTTTTTGTTTGAGTCAGACTTCATTTAAAGATCAAGTAGAAGTTTATACATAAACTGCATATTTTACCACTAGAAACTATTTGCCCTGTTCACACATTAAACAAATAGACTTTAGTGTAAGTCTATAAAGCCTACTTAGCACTTGGATGGCCTTTTTTCGAACTTTTTCGACCTTTATAGTTTTTCTAAATTTTTTTAGAAGTTTCTCAAATCATTCATCAGAGTGAGTGTGTTTCTCAAAATAAATCAACCATGCATTTAAACCTGATATATTTCCTGCCAAAGCCACAATCTTATTAATGTCTTGGATGTATCTCTGAATGGTGAATATATCTACAGTACCAGTGAACATGCTGGTTCAATCAGAAGAACAAGGCCTACCGTGATTGTATACAGATATGATAGTTAAACTGCTTAGTTGAGTTGTCAGTAAAACATATTCTAGAGTAAACTATGGCTTCATTTTGATGACGACGATTGTAATTTTGAACCAACACCTAAGGGCATGTGACATCTTGACTGCAAGATACTTAATCTTGATTTTTTTTAACCATGCTACTGCGTTAGAAAGAAAAGACAGCAGTGCATATCAAGAGTAGAAACATGCACAAAGGGCTCTAGGGAAAACTGCACATGTAGTGCTGTAGGAATTACAGTGCAGTCTCTTTTCACCGCCTTATGTTCATGTCTGCTGGGCCACATGTTCCCAACGACATAACAATAAAAATCTTGTGATAGCCAAGAAAAAAATCTTTGGGAGGGTTTTATTCATAATTTTGCAGACATCTGCTATGATTTCAGCATATACTGGACACATGGAAGCATGATTGTTATATACTTTTAATCCCTGTGCTGAAAAAAAAAAAACTTCTTTAAGAAATGAGAAGTAGGTTTAGGGTAACTCTATCTGTATAATGTTGTGTGTTGCAAACCAGGCCTAACGATGTTGGAGCGATGGAAACTGACACTGTCCTAAACCATTATTTGCTTCAACAAGTAATCTCCAGTCTGATTCCTGCTGATCCCTTTAGAGAATGTCTAAAAAAGGTGACAAGACACTCCATATTGTATGGCCCAATAATGGGAATATGTCTTCAATGAAAATTAAATGCAATTTATTAATGTCAGAATTGGGAAGTTATTGGGAAACAGAATTACATACACAGATATAAAATCTACAATCTAAATTGCTATATGAAATCTACAATCTAAATTGCTATATAAAATCTACAATCTAAATTGCTATGTAATGAATAAAGTTCCATATCTGTGCAGAAAGAGCAGTGATGATTATAAGCGCTATGTGTCCACATTACATTGTCACGCATGGCTGTAATAAATATGAAGTAGAGGCTGCAATCTAGCATGGACCGCAGATCAGTAACAGAGGAAAGCGTTAATGAATCTGTTGCTATCAGGCAAGTTGTTTTATGTTAAAATGTCATTTAGTAAGAGAAGTGTTGCTTACAGCCAATACCAGCATAATAGAAACATCAGGAAAGAGCAGACCACAGATACAGTTGATGAGTCATGTGAGGAAAAAGTTTGCTATTTCAGAGCTGATTAGAAAAAGCATAAAAGTATTTTCTGTCATAAACGGAAACAATGGACCCAGTATTCAAGGCGGATCAGATAATGGGAAGATTAAGAATGCTTAATAACAGAAAAGAATAAAACAGAGCGAGACGCAGGCTGCTGAAGATAAGCGGACTGCAGTGGCTGTACGGGGGACGGGGCGGAGCACTGCCCAATCACTAACACTCTGGAGGGGGAAACACAGGTTAGTGCCCTCGATCATCTGACAGGAGATGATTATTCGAGTGAGTCACTTACCTGGTTTAACAGCTCAGTCTATCCTCTCCAAGGAAGGCAAGATCCAGCCAATGGAATGCCAATCACATCAAAGATGTGGCTCAGAGCCATCCATAGTGTCCCCGATGCAGCAACCCGAGTGAGCAGCCATGAGAGCAATCCTGTGGAGTCCGTAGCCCAACCAGGGGTTCCAATCCGAACAGGAACAGACAGATGCAGCATTCCAGGAATCCTCAGAACGTGAAGGCAGGTTCAGAGTTTTATGAGTCAGGCAGCGAGCTCAGACAGACATGCGCTGATGAAGAAAGGCAAGCTCAGTGGTAGAGAAGAACATAGACAGGACATGGTACCAGGATAAATGCTGAACTTTAAACTGGTCTCCACCTTGGAGCCAGGCTGAAGGGAATTAAAAGTGACCTTCCCTGCGTTCCGAACCAAAACCCTGAGGGCTCCACGGAAAACGACCAGAACCTGTGCTCCCCCCGCACACTGAGCCAAAACCCTGAGGGCTCCACGGAGAAGGACCAGAACCTGCGCTCTCCCCGCACACTGAGCCAAAAGCCTGAGGACTTAGAGGAGAAGAACCGGGACACGATCAAGAGACAAACACCAAACCCTCTCAATCAACTGGATTTCAAGAGTCAGGACATGAACGAGGAACATAACTAAAACTTTAAACATAAATAACTGACATAAAAAACATACCACACATTAACTAAGAATACAAAAATATGTAACAAAAATACAAACGTATAAACAAAGAATAGTGATCTGGACCCGATAGTTGGGCTGAGCCGTATATATATATATAGCAGAGGAAGCAGGTTAATAAGACAAATGATAATTAAAGAGCGGGGAGGGAACAGCAGGTGAATGAAGTAAGTAATTCCAGATTCCAGATGCCCCAAAACCAAAATAAAATCAAACATAAAATAAACCAGACAAAGATCATAAACTGACCAGATAAATCTTTTAAAAAAAAGATGCGACTTCTGATCCAGCGTTCCAGTGAACTGTAAAGTGCCTTGAGGTCTCGTGTTATGAATTGGCGCTATATAAATAAACCGAATTGAGTTGAATTGAATTGATGGAAGTGCACCAAGAGGGAGTTACTGTACAGGTAATAACATTTACCAGGAAGGAATCCCTGAATCAGTTTGTTTGACAGTGTTCAGTCCAGTCTGTTGTCAATCCCTGAATTTATAGTGCTCCACTATCTCCACTTCGACTATTACCTGTAGTGGTTGCAAACATGTCTTCTTCGTTGTGAAGTCAACCATGATATCTCTAGTCTTGTTGGTGTTTAGCCTCAAGTGGTTCCTCAGTCCAGTCTGCAAACCGGTCTACCAGTCCTCAGTGCTCTCGCTCTTATCACCCTACAACTGCTAAGTCAACCAAAAACGTCTTTAATTGACATGACTTGGTGATGTATTGAAAATCGTGGTCCACAAAGTGAAGAAAAAAGGAGAAAGCAGAGTTCCCTAGAGAGCCCCCGAACCACTAACCAACACATCAGAAAGTACACTGCCCAAAAAGACAAACAGCGGCCTGGTTATCACATAACCAGTCTACTAAGAGATCGTTGAGCTGTTGACAACCATCATACACAACTTTTCACCTATAGGACCTATAGGAGCTATGGAAAAATGGTTTATAAAGCCAAAGTAAGAATATGAATTTTTACAGCACTTCTTCTCCCATGCAGGAGTGAATGTGCTCTTTGCAGTAGATATAAGAAAGCTTCTTCAACTACAGGGTACAGGGTACAGAACTGACTTGACCTGTGGCCCCAGATGACCAGTCTCTGCAGAATCTTGATTATATGACATTTGAGGGCCCCTAGTGGATAGTCAGAAAAGATCAGCAGGCAACGACTTCCTGGCACAGGAAGTGGAAACAATTCCCAGTACAATATTCTTAGACATAGCAGCACCCAACGATATGCTCCTGTTCTGTTGGGTTACTTTAAAACATTTCCCTTGGTTAGAGAATGTAATTATTCACCTGGGAGATATCTACTTATCCAAACAGATTCAGAAAAAGTTTAAGTGAAATGTGTAGAAAAATGCTTGACATATTATATAAACTCCTTTAACGATTTTGCATATAAAGTGTTATACAATGGGTGAAGACACTAAAATAGAGAGATCCATTATAATAAATTTTGATCAACATGACATAAACAAATCAAAATTTAGGAAACTGTAGGTAATTGTACATAATCATTTGCATGGATGAACCAAAGCATTGGCAAATGTTTCAAAGAAATAAGATGCAATTTTTTTTTTTATTTGCGCAAGTGACACAATTATGTTAAGTTTGAAGAAGTAGCTTTGATAATGTCAATTCTGATCTCATAAATGCATCAATGCAATTCATAAAAACAGTCTTTGAAAGTATTCTTACTTCACTACTTTTTTCAATTACTCTGACAACCTTTAATTGTAATGAAAACAACTGGCATCAGAGGTCAGCTTGTTTGTAAGTACGTGTTTCGATTTAGAATGGAATATACACTCCTTAATCTTTGAAATAAAACATGTTGTGGATCAATCTATTATGTTAGATACTGCAAAACATAACATTCAGAAAAAAAGACATTTTAAAGTTTATTTAATATCAGTCTGGCTTTTTTACCATAGTATCTAAAGTTGAAGATAAAAGCTCTAAAATGCCTAAATGCTGGCATATATATGACTTTTGAGATTACTTCTCAGACATTTACATTGTGATTGTCAGGATCCCAGTTTTTGTGTTCGTCTTTTTGTCTTGTATTTTGTGTTTCTCCCTTCCACAACCAGGAGGCGCTGGCTCTGGTTCGCCTCCTCACACACCTGCAAGCTGTTGCCTCATCACCGGACTGCTCTTAAGCTGCTGGTTGCCACTACTTCGACGCCAGAGTGTTTGCCAGTTTGGGGTACTCTAGCCAAGCCTTGTTTATGCTGAGTCTAATATGAGTTTTTGCATTCTGAGTTTTTGTCCTCTAACCAAGCTGAGATCACATTGAGTTTTACTGAGTGCTTGTTTCTCCCTGAGTCTCAACTTTGTTTGTTTTTTGCCTGTCGGCAGGAAGCCTTCCTGCAAAATGGACCTTTTCGGACCGCCTTCTCCCAAGTGGGATCAACTGAGTCTTACACTGAGCGACGGATTCCAAACAGGAGGTTTGGATCCAGCCATCTTTGAGCACGCTGAGATCACTCTCAGAGTAAGGAAGTCATCTTCACCACGACCTGTTCAAGTACCACAGGAAATCTGAGTTGCAACCAGCGGCTGCATCATTCCACTCCGTCCGAGTTCTGGGTAAACCCTGTTCCAGCCTCCACCGAATCAAACAAACTCTGGACGACCAACACACAGACTGGAGTCTACGTGTCTCTTCTTCTCTGAAAACGCGAGTGGCAACAAATCCTCTCCTTCAAGATTAACAACTCCAATTCCCCACTGAGCCTGAATCTAAGAGTCTGTCTTCCCCTCGTCTTCCAGTTTCCTGGCCTAGCAGAGTTTGGAGGAACTCTGCACAGAACTCAAAATACTCTTCAATAAAATTCATTGAAACTTTTACTCTGTGTCTCTCTGTTTGGCTTCACTGCATGTGGGTCCGAGCTTTAGATAAAATCATGACAGTGATGCCCCCAAATGGCAGAAGTTTCCATCTTAGCAAAAGTGTTGAGCCCTATAACACCTCTTGCATCACTTCATCACTGCTGGCAGCCATCAGAAAATCATGTTACATTTCTTTGAAGTTTTAGACACCAAAATATTTCAGAGAACATGGAGCATTAGTCAAGTAGACATAGGTTAATTCTTTATTCAAATTAAGTTCCTTTTTTAAGGGATTGTGAGTGCAGCTCAATAATCAGGATGACAAGTATTTTCAGTTTTTTATTCTTTACCTCAACCTTTTTGCCTTTCTTTTGTCCTAGCTTTCTCTTATAAAATGTGCATATTCTATCATTTTTCTTCAATAATTTCCTCCCCAACCCTCCTTTGTTTGTCTCCTTTTCTCTCTGTGGTCTTTATCCAGTTGAGTGGCCCTTATTTGGATCATTTTATATCCAGCTTTTTCTTCTTCATCTGTTTCTCTGTTTCCACTTCTATCATCTCCTTACCTCCCTCAAGTCCCCTTTCTGCTCTTACCCCACTCCTGACAGCTATACAGGCTGTCCAATAAAACAGGGATAAAAACCCAATCCTTGCCTGGGCTCAATTTCCTCGACACACTCACACACTCTCACATACAATCAGTGGTAACATAAATCAAACATAAAAAGCCAATCCCTGTCTGGAGTCAATTTCCATAAGGATACAATACGGGTTGTGCCCAGGAAGTAATGAGATTGGATATATGTAATGTTTAATGTAAAATGCGTTTGCAAGTGTGTTTTGTTTACTTGAATTGCAAAATAAGGACTTTGGATTATTTTCCAGGTGAATAATTTCCTTTAGAGTGTATGTGTGTGTTTATTTACACCCAGGTGGTGTAGAAACAGTGTGAATACTGGTGGCTAATGATCCCTGTTTACATCACATATCACACCATGGGCTTTGTCACATTATCCCCACGGTACAACTGTGTAAAAAAAAAAAAAAAAAACTCACCGACACACAATCCACTGTCTCCCACCCACCTACTCACATTCATGCAGAGTTTCTAATTCACACACACACACCTGTGCACATATTTTCATTCACAGTCATCCATCTTAAGTAATCAGGCATAGACACATACTTACTCTTTGTTCATGCATTTTCTCAGTTTTATATTCCTAAACACAAACTCTAATATGTGCCTAGGCAGCGAAACTGTCAGAGGAAGATCGGGACACATGTATAAACGCAAATACTCACACATTGAGGTTACCTCTCCTAATGAGGCAGGTGTCTTTGCAGAGCTGTCACAAACCACACGGTTTGATCAGTTTATGACTCCAGAGTCAGGACTGTGCTGTTTGTGTGTGCGCATACCTCAGACAATATTTCTGTGGCAGCATAGCTAAATATGCATGCAAAAGAAATCTTTGCTTTTTCCAGTCGTATAGCTATGTGGGGTTAGTATTTGTCTACATATAATTGAAATGCAGCAAAGGCGTCCCTAATGTACAAAATAAAGTATTTGTTTTGTGACAGAAATAGGAAAATCTCTTACCCACATTACAACTACTGGAGAGATTTTCTGAGAGTAAATATTTAATTCAAATCGGAGTGAATTCATATAACTTGATGTTCTGCATAAATATACAGTGGGGAGAATTTTTTCACGCAATTACTCATATGTTACAAGGATGTTCAAACAAACTAGCCAAGAATTTGACAGTAAACCTGTTTGTGTGTCTGGATGTAAAACCTTACGGTAAAATTGGCAGGTTTTACCTTACTAGTAAGATCATAGCAACAACAGTTTAAAAGATTATTTGAAAAACATTTTAAATCTAAGAGAAGACAGCTGAGTCACCTGAGGACAGATGGACAGGATATATGTTGCTGCAGAAGATACGCTTTATTAGATTAATTACCTGAGAAAGATAGGTAAGCCAGGATTTAGATTTAAGAAGTAAAGATGAAGAATTAAG